GTATGAGCAGTAGTACAGTAATCGTTTCGAGTGCAGGGAAATAAATAATATCCTCAGCGACAAAAGTTGCACAGGTACATGCCAGTAAGCGTAGGCGATGGGTTGGAGACAGTAAGTAATTCAATTTAAAATGTTACTTGACTATAGCAAGTAGTAATATAACAACGGTATTTGTCAAGGTTACAAAGCTCGGGTGGTAATTTTGTGGACACTGCTATACAAATCCAGCTTCCTCTTAAAGACCTCGGCGGAAGCAGACAGAACGACACCCGGGGGCAGGATGTCCCAAGCTTCAAGCACTCTGATAGAGAAGAAGAACTTACATGTGTCCTGCCTGGCCCCGGTCACACGTTGTTTGTGGTGGTTGCTAACGCGAAGAAATCCCCCGGTACCAGGCTGCAGTCCTGACCGCGTATGGTACGGAAGGTTTGAATCAGGTCACCCCGTAACTGCTTGTTACTCAAGGGAAAGCGATCAAGGTTTGCTAACCGCGTTACATATGGTAGTGAACCCTGTCCTGTCACAAGTTTCGTTGAACGCCTTTGAACCCTTTCGAGGATGCTGAGGTTCTTCGCGGTCCAGGGTCTCCAGGCTTGGATAATAAATTCCAATTGCGGCCGTACAAACGTTCAAAAGACCTTAGCAAAGCACTCTTCATCAAAGGCTGAGAAAACCCGCTTGACAAGGTAGAGAACTGACATTGCAGACTTGGCTACCTTCATACAGTGCAGCGAGGGTTTGAGCGAGGTCGTAATCCGTACTCCCAAGTTCTTCTGCGAGTCCACTTCTTGCAGTGGTATACTATTCAGGCAGTAAACCATGTGGTTCGGAGAGTGGGCTCTGCCGACTCGTAGATTATTACATTTTTTCTCATTGAACGGCAAAAGCCAGCCCTCGGACCACTGATGGAGTCGGTTTAGGTTCGCCTGCAAATGCTCTTCGTTGTTGGCAGTTCGAATGACGCTCCAGAGCTTAATATCATCCGCAAACATGGCGACACCACAGCCCGGTTCACTTACGCAATCGTTGACGTAAATAATGAACAGAGTAGGATCAAGAACAGAGCCTTGGGGAACACCCCTTTCATCGGCAACTCCCGTCGACTACTGGCCACCGACATGGACAGTTTGCGAACGGTCAAATAGGGAGCTTTAAATCCATTTTAAGAGGATACCCCTAACGCCAGTTCGGCTCAGTTTGTGCAGGAGACGCTGATGTGGGACACTATCAAATGTCTTTTTAAAGTCCATACAGACTAGAGGCAGCGTACTGCCCTCATCATCTGCCCGAGTCCCACGATCCAAACAGTAGAGCAAGTTAGTCACGCAAGACCTGCCACTACGGAGCCCATGCTACGGATCAGATAATAGATTATGCTGCTCTAGGGAGCGCATTAGCCCTCGCTTAATTATTTTTTCCAGGATTTTGCACCAGATGGAGGTGAGGCTAATTGGTCTGTAAGTGTTTGCAGAGGCCCCCTGCCTCCTTTGTACAGTGGTGTGATCCGCGCAGATTTCCAGTCGACAGGTAAACAGCCAGCTTCGAACGAGGCTTGACAAAGCATGGACAATGGTTTGGCTGGTTCAGCAGCGAGCTTCTTCATTAACTTAGGCGGTATGTCGTCTGGACCTGCTAATTTCGACTCATTTAGAGTCATTAGCTCTTTGCGAACAGTTTCTTTCTCTAAAGATATAGTCTCAATTTTTGGACCCTCCTCGAAGTCGTAGTCGGGAGGAGTAGATGCGCTTTCACTCAAAACTTGTGAAAGGAGCTCAGCTTTTTCTCCATCCTCACTAATCTCTTCGTCTCCGGTTGCCTTGGGGAAGGGGACTGGATCTCTGTTTCGTGTGCTGCTTCTTATGTAGTTGCAGAATAAGTTCGGATTTTCCACAGTACGATTCAGTAGGTCTTTTTCAAAATTTTGCTGTCGATTGACTAAGTTCCTCTGTGCTTTGTATGCGCTTATGGATACAGCATTCCCATCAGTGAGAGATTTCTGCCACAATCTCCGCTTTCTATTTTCTTCCTTTTTAGAATAGAATAGAATAGGTTTATTGTAGCGCCCCTTGGGCACTGTCAGTCCCCTTTGAACTTAGGAAAAAAAACCTAAAAACAAACTCGTCAATTTCAACTGCACTTTGACTTCATTTGCTTCGGGTGTCTGGTTAGCCAAAAGAGCGCGAATTGAGAGTTTGTTTTAAGTTAAAAAAAACCTCAATTCTAAGGGAAAATGATAACAAAATTTTCAAAAAATATCGATATGTACAATATAAAAATTGAAGTTTTCAGGTTGGTAGTTTTCGGGGGCATGAATAATATGTCCTTCATGGCAATTGAAGAACTTTGATATCGGCCTAACCTTGAAATTATTTTCCTGTTGGGTAAATTTCGGTGTGCTCTAGTTGCTGGTTGTCAGTCTATCTGGCCAGCTGTAAGGGGGCGGTCGCCTGAATCAGCCACCGGGGTCGATTGTTTAGTCCCTTCCGTGAAAGCGGGCAGTGGTTTGTCAGGACAACATGCAATAATTCATTGAACCATTTCCAATCCAATGGTCCTCGGAAAAAGGATACGGTCCTGCTATGTGCAGTCTTCCGCAAGTAATGTGGAACACCGTGTCTGCTCCGCCTATCTGTGGAACACACGGTGGGGATCGTCGGGCACGACGGTCAGTGTGGGGCATTTGACAGATCGGTGGAGCAAAGTGCTCTCGAAATTCCATCATCTTTTTAAAACTAAACCTTTCCTTTTGTTCCTTTGGACTTTGTTCTCTTCATACGCTGAAACTTTATTGTTTCCGCAAAACTTCTTTCACAGCCACTTTTGTTATTGGCCACTTCTGTAGGTCTCGGGTTACCCACTGAGGCCAATTCATCCTCCTTGGCCTTAATAAAGGACAGGGACTCTACAAGTTACGCAATAAACTTTCCTTGAATAACTTCTTGTCCCCAGTGACATTTACAAAGAAGAGGACATCTCAGTCTACGTGCGATAACACAGCTCTCATTTAGCAAAAGTCTCCTTGCCATACACTTTACCCTATTTCGTTTATTGCACATGGTTCCGAGTAAAGTCAAGGCTCCCATAAAAGTGCTGCTTAATCCCTTCGACCGAGCGGAGATGAGCAATGCACGTCGGCACTGCTGTCAGAGTCTCTCATGAAGACGAGATCCAAACAACTAGTCTGTTATCCACCACACTCCCTTGTTGGACCTAAGACATGCTGTGTGAGGAGAGCTGAAAAGCCTGTGTTGAAAAGATGGTGACCAAAGGCGCACTTCGAGCACATCGTTTGCATATCTCTCCATCTAGTACCGGGTGCATTGATAACATCCATAAGAACAAAATAATGTCGACTAACAATCCCCTTGTATCTTCTAAAAAGCATGTATCTAAGTCCGGATGCGCACTTGGCGATCGGTAGACAGTCACGACTTCAAAGGACTGTGACCACGTGTCTTTATAATCATTCCGAAGGCCTTCGCGTCAGTTCAGTTTATTTGGTAAGGATAATAGACAAACCATTTGAAAACCCTATTGATTACATGTCAGCTCGTTAGAAATAACTGTCCACGAACAATGAAAATATTCGTTATACAAACAGTACTTGATTTATTTGAGTAGCATTGTCTCAGAGAAAAATTTGCGGGGTCGTGGGGTATTAGTTCAGATCCCGACTGTCCAGGGAAAACAGGGGACACAAATAATCATCCAAGCGTTTTTTGAAGGGTTGCAGAGACGTCGCCTCCACGACTGCCTGAGGGCGATCGTTCCATTTCTCCACTACTTCCGAAGGCCTTTGTGTTGTTAGTAGTCTTCTTCGTCTTCTCACACGGTTAAGTTGTTCTTCGAACAGTTGGCGACCCCTTCACTCTAGCGATCCTTTTTGTCTATCCCGAATAATTTATATCGTGGAAGTGTTACTTTGCAGTCGATGACGCTCTGCAGTTGCAGTGTTTCTGTAATTGCAGTAACATTTGGAGGCGTATCGTCTACATATATTTTTATTGCCTCGAACTTCGAAAACGGACTCTGACTGTTGGTATGCAAGAGTTTTAGAGCGGAATATTCGGCAGTATGTAGTTCAGTTAGTCTCATGCTAACATCAAATACGTTGTCGCTGCCAACATTAGCATTGACTGGTTCAGAAAAAAAAACTGTGTTTCTCTTTGTTGCTCTGTATTGCAGGGGTTATCAAAGCACGGAGAAATGCGACCGTGATACTTTTTGCTGAACAAACAAACTATTAGCAGATGACGAGAACGGGAATCCGACACGCTTATCAACAGAGCACTTAGGGTTGAAGTGAGGAGATGAAGTTCAAATCCGCAAAAACCCTTTTTCGCGAATGGATATGGAGAAACGGGAAATTTGTCATGGAGACAGAGTGGGGGCCCGGGAATTTTTGGTGGTGGCAGACCAGGAGTGGCTGGAGGGGAATCCTAATGAGGGTCGGCGGCGAGCGAAACGGAGGCGGTTTAGAGTTTACGCATCAACATGGTCCCGATCACTTCTATGGGAGGTTGATTAGGGAAGGCATCGTGTTTTGCGAAGGATAGGATGCATGGGTCAAAAAAGTCGCAATTTCTGATGAGAGATCCTGGAAAGCGAAACCACATGCAGAGAAAAAAGTGCGGTAATTTGGCACTGACGTCCTAAATTCTCGACGGTCCTTTTTCAAAGTTATGGAGTAAGTTTCGCGGGAAGGATGAGGGCGGCTCTAATGTAACCAGCGTCTCGGACGCACGACGACAACACTCTATCCCTTCCAACATGCGACTCTGTCAGCGCATATTCCGAGCACGAATCGGCTTCGTCGGACACCTTCAGACGCAGTGCAGCCACAACCCCGCACCTCAGCCGTTACAACTACTAACGTTCCTATCTTCAACCCTCCCCAACCCCTACGGCGTTCGCCTCCTACTACCGGTGCTCAGACTCCCGATGTCCGGCCGCTCTCGATCATCGACACCATCCCCCCTGCCAAAACCCCCGCGTCGATCATGGCAGCGACAATGGTGATCCCCACCACCACCACCACCACCACCACCACCACCACCACCAACAACAACAACAACAACAACAACAATAACAACGACAAAATTGAAGACTTGATCCTAGCATGTCCTCACTGCGACCGCACAACCGCTCAAGTTCTTGGCCCTACTTTGTTCATCATTTACGTCAACGATTGCGTGAGTGAACTGGATTGTGGTGTCGCCATGTTTGCGGATGACATTAAGCTCTGGAGCGTCATTCGAACTGCAGATGACGAAGAGCATCTGCAGGCGAACCTAAATCGACTCCAACAGTGGTCAAGGGCCTGGCTTCTGCCGTTCAACGAGAAAAAGTGTAATATTCTACGAGTCGGCAGAGCTCGCTCTCCGAACCATATGGCCTACTGCCTAAATGGTATACCACTGCAAGAAGTGGACTCGCAGAAGGACTTGGGAGTATGGATTACGACCTCACTCAAACCCTCGCTGCACTGCACGAAGATAGCCAAGTCTGCAATGTCAGTCCTCTACCTTGTCAAGCGGGCTTTCTCTGCCTTTGACGAAGACTGCTTCGCTAAAGTCTTTCGAACTTTTGTGCGTCCGCAACTAGAATTTGCTATCCAAGCTTGGAGACCCTGGACCGCGAAGGACCTCAGCATCCTTGAAAGGGTTCAAAGGCGTGCAACGAAACTTGTGGCAGGACAGGGTTCACTACCATATGCAACGCGGTTAGCTAACCTTCATCTCTTTCCCTTGAGTTACAGGCAGTTACGGGGTGACCTGATACAAGTCTTCCGTATCATACGCGGTCAGGACTGCAGCCTCATACCGGGTGACTTCTTCGAGTTAGCAACCACCACAAATCTACGAGGCCATCCATTCAAACTACGTGTGACAGGGGCCAGACTGGACACACGAAAGTTCTTCTTCTCCAACAGAGTGGTAGAAGCCTGGAATGCCCTGCCTGTGGATGTCGTTATGTCTGCTTCCGTCGAGGTTTTTAAGAGGAAGCTGGATTTGTGTAGCAGTGTGCACTAAATTACCACCCCGATCTCTGTAACCTCGACAAATTCCGCTATTATAATACTACTTGCTATATTTCAGTAACATTGTAAATTGAATTTATTATTGTACCAACCCATCGCCTACGCTTACTGACATGCACATATGCTAATTTTGTCCCCGGACATATTATTTATTTCGCTGCATTCGAAACGACAGCTCTACAACTGCTCGTACCACTAAAATTCGAGACAGTTTGTTTGTCTGTACAGACCTGACGCTTTTCCGATTATTTGTTACTTTATGATACCTTTTCGAGTTTTTGAGATTTTGCAGTTGCTTGTTAACAAATAGGGAGTTCAAAGGTGAAGACCTACATTTCTCTCAATAAACTGAACTGAACTGAACTAATGCACTGGTCTGATCGATCACTTGCGAATCGCTCGCACAGAGAATGGTGAACCAGTACCAAGATCACCAATATACACCCGTCGCACCCGCCTCCACCGTTCGCAGTGACCTCGCACATTCACTCACAGCATGGGTTTATTCGGCCGCATGCGCATCCATGACAGTGGAATCCACCGCGTTGCCGACACACCTAATGCATCTCGCATGCCTATAAACACTCCCACCTCCAGGTCTTCCACCAGTAACAGCGGAACAGTCCTCGCCAACTCAGCACCTCCCGAACATCCTGTCCACTCTGCCGCTACAACATCGCCTCACGCATCGGCCTGGTCGGTCCCTTGTGAATTCATCGCACGGAGACAGGTAAACCAGTGTCTGGGGCGGCGCACACAGCCGCCGCGTCAGCCTCCATTATCTACATTGTCCACCCACATTCACTCACTCTATGGGCCTATTTGGCCACATGCACCTCCACAAAGATCCCTCCGTCCATAACCGAAGGCTTGACCACATCACTACCCATTCTCACCACCAGCGCATCCATCACACAGGCACTCTCCCATCTCCACCCAGTATTGGCATCTATCATTACGTGAAGCTTGGGCCTCGGTGAGGACTCGGTCGACCGATTTGTCGATCCTGCGCCGGCGTACGGAGCCCTGCGCAGCCATCTCCAGTCTTGTGCCATCGATGGACTCCCGCAGGAGTTTGACAGCTCAGAACAATAAAAACACCAGTCTTCCTCCTCACCGTCTGAAATTAAAATAGACATCATCACCAGTGATAAGGTAATCACATGTGGAGCGCGGTCAGCATGCCTGGAATATGTGACTGCCGCTGTACTATACTGAGCGACCTGGGCAGTGTTTGAGTACTCGTTCTGAAATTCTTTCCAAGATGTATTTTTAAGCTGCCATGAGATTGCCCCCCCCCCCTGTAGGTGCTAAATATAGCAATTTATTTATCTTATCTATTTATCTACCCTACTCTGTCCTCTGATGGCAAGGCAAAGTCAAGACGACGGGGATGCGCATGAGCACACCCATCTGGACGTGTCACACACGACCTGGTCCCCTCCCCTACCACCTTTTGGGAATCAAATCCAAGGTGAGTGAACATGTCATAGGTGCCGCATCAAAATGGAGCCACTGAAGCCGGTCTGAAATGGGGAGCAGCAGTGGATGTGCTAACTCATGAAATTTCAACCAAAATTTCGAAATGCGTTCTCGTTTCAAAAAGATAAATTAAGTAGTGCTGTAAAACTAATCATGATGCAGCATAAATCTATAATGATCCCGTTACCTCAGGGTGTCAGCTTTCGAAAGAACTTATTTTCGGCTGCATGCAAGATCTATACTCTGCAAAAAATGAATACTTAATTAGCTTGCAATTTTCTCATCGATTTTCCATGCCCTTGAAAATTCAATTATATTTCATGGAAAACATGCTTAAAGTTATTCATTCTTTTACTTATTCGGTAACAAGTCACGTCTTCTTCCAATTTAATACTCAAAAGAAGAGTATAATTCGGTTTAAAAAAAAAACTTTTCTAATCCCCGAATAAATTTGACCCCGACCTGCTGTTAAACTTGCATTCAGGGTTTCAAAACTACAAGCTGCATATTTTCCGTGTCCGGTAAACCATGCATTTCTCTACAGTGTTAAGAGGAGACTATATGAGGTTCATAAAATTAAGCAGTGGAGTTGAACAATATTGTAAACTTTACAAGCCACATTCGTAAATGCAGATACATGACGTTTCATGAACGGCCATTTAACGTTATTAAAAATCTCGCAATTGGAAACTTTTTTAAAACCGAATTATACTCTTCTTTTGAGTATTAAATTAGAAGAAGACGTGATTTCCTACCGAATACGTAAAAGAATTAATAACTTTATGCATGTTTCTCAGGAAATATAATTGAATTTTCAAAGGCATCGAAAATCGATGAGAAAATTGCATGCTACTTAAGTAGTCATCTTTTGCAGAATATAGATCTTACATGCAGCCGGAAATAAGTTCTTCCGAAAGCCGACACCCTGAGGTAACTGGATCATTATGGATTTATGCTGCATCATGATTAGTTTTACAACACTACTTAATTTTTCTTTTCGAAACGAGAACGCATTTCGAAATTTTGGTTGACATTTCATGAGTTAGCACATCTACTATACCATATACGTTAACAACCTCTGAATCATGACCAATAACACATCGTGGCATGTTTAGGCGGGTTAAGTCGATGCTAACGAGTGCATCGTTTTGCCGTGAGAAAGGATTCTCCGGTATCCGAGTCAGGGCGACTGAGAATGGGAGTTGGGCATATTGGCTGATATGGCAGGTGTGCAATAGAAAACACCACTGGGCGCAAGCAATCTCGACCTCGCCTTGCCAGAATCCGCTCTTGCCCGAGACTGCAAACTCTGGATTTTGTGCAGAATACAGCGCTCATTGTAGTTTCTTCCGCCTTATTCTGCCAATCAAGACCTGGTCTGACGATTGTGACACTCAGGATACACTTAATATGAAAGCCGCTACACAACTGCGAGTTTTGTCGCCATGAGATCTTCTTGATCGTCTCGTCAATGATGCGGTGGATGAAGTTCCCCGACTGCACAGACACCCAGCAGGCAGTCTTCCCGGCTATGAACAGTCTCCTGAATGTTAGCCAACAGTAGTTCCGTCGCTCTAACCCTATTTCTGTCAGAAGCCATTTCGCAAGCATCATGGCTCGTTTCCGTTTATCAGTGAGCTTTAAGGTAACAAGCTCTACAGCGTCCTAAGCATTCATCAGTGACACTCCCTCGGTGGCTGTTCGGCCTCATTCCTGAAGCCCTCCCTGATCTCCATCTTCACCGGAGTCACTACTGTGGTGCTCTTTGAAAGCGAATAATGTCGACGAGGAACATTTGCCTTCTACTAGGTAGTAGAGCGCAGAAGACTGGTCATACAGGGTTAGCTTTTCCGGAGCACACGTGACCAGGCCTCCGCGATGACATTGACTTGTCCACTGTGGTCCTCTCGATGACGTACTTTGCTTTCGACGCCCGGTAGAGGGACGTGTGGCGTCTAAATAGTAAGCGTACCCAGAATTCTACAATGATCATGACCCAGTCTCTTTATGAAAGGGAATCGGAAAGGTCGCAGCGAGAGTCTTGTACTCTGTACATAAGCGTCGCTTGGGAGTCGGTCATTGTCAGCTTGGTGAGCTGATTGGATGACTGTGGGCACCTGTGATTGACCGTCACGCCGTTTTGAATGAGAAGGGGAAAGACACCAGTGGGAGTTGTGTATTCTGTACAGAGCCCCCGACCTGCGACCAGCTTTGGGTTTGCACGCGCGTCTGCTCACGTGGGGTGGAGTCGTTTTGAGTGCATAAGCATCACGTGGGGGTCAGTCATTGTCAACTTAGTGGGTTAATTGAATGATGGTGGACATTGTGGGCGCCTGTAATTGGCTGTCTACGAGGCCGCACGTGCGCACGTTCCGGCCGCCAGAGGAGCCGTGATCATATGATTCCTTGCGTGGCGTAGATGCCCGAAGTAGAAGGGTAGATCCTGTAATAAATGAACCGGTCTATGCTTGGAATGAAAGGATAAGTGGGTCAGATGTGGTTATTTAGCTCCATCTAAAGTAAACTAACCCCGGCCACCCGTAATACGGGACCGGTAATAGTAGGGATTTTTTGAGGTGGGGCCGGGGAACTCACAGGTGACGAGTTTGAGAAATAGTTGCCTTTACCACTAAGCCTGACCATAACCACTAGCCCTAACCCGAACCTCGTAACCCTAACCCAAAACCCAATAACATTGTGTCCGTCAGGTGGGGCAGCATGATCACATCTTTCCGCGATAATAACTTAGCAACCTAGTATGCAGTTAATATTCCCCTCAATGCCCCAAAAATTGGCGGTGTTCACATTTATCGCACGTGGTCGCATAAAAAGTGCATCCTATAAATGCTGCAATACCAGCGTGACGCATTACCCCGTCTGGTTCTATCCCTGATGGTGGATTTCAGCGTGGATCCGAGGCGTCCGTCGACTTCTTGTGCCCATGGCTCTGAATGCCCAGTATTTATGCAACGGAGTGAAGACCGCTGGGATAATCTCGTATGTTTCAGCTTCCGTTTATTAAGGGAAATATAGGCGAGCGCCTTTGGACTCCCTATTGCTTACAAGTCGTCGGAGGAAAACATTGATAAGTGGGAAGGTGAAAAGTGATTTTGTACATAATCGCAGACAGCTGTCAGCTTGTCAGCTTGACAGCTTGTCAGCTGTCAGCTTGACAGCTTTCTAATTACAAGTAGTATAGTGTTCAAGTTGGTGCCGGGTTATGCGAGCGGATGAGGCTGGTAATCGGCAAGCTTTATACGCGTCAAGTCTACACTTGAAGGAATTCCCACAGGAGGAGATTACACCATCGATAAGCAGGGCATTCCACACCGCAACCACTCTTTTACTGAAAAAAAGAACTTTCGTCCCTGTGCGTAGTTTTAGGGGATGACCGCGCAAAGTGGGCGTGTTAGCTTGTGTGAAATAATTAGTGGGATCTGAACAACAGTCTAGGCCGTTAATAATGCGAAATGTTAGTATAAAGTCACCACGTATCTGCCTGTAGCAAAGGGGAAACAGGTTGAGAGTTGACAGTCTGGTTTCACAGGGCAGTGCTCCCAGACCTTGTGTCATTTTGGTCGCCCGTCTCTGGACCTTCTCCAAGACGGTATAATCCTTGGCAGTCCAGGGTCTCCACGCCTGTATGGCGAATTCTAGGTGTGGCCGCACGTAGGTGCCAAGTGTTTTGGAAAAGCCGTCAGGGCCAAATCCCATAAATGCTTGCCTAATGAGTTGCAATGTGGCCGTAGCCGATTTAGCCGCCTTCGCGCAGTGAATTGTTGGTTTGAGTGAAGATGTAATCCATACACCCAAGTCCTTCTGACTGTCAACCTGTTGCAGTGGTGTGCCGTGTAGAGAGTAAGCCCTGAGGCTGGAGGCTCTGAAGCTGCCGAGTTGAAGAAAGTTGCACTTGGTTATATTGAAGGGCATAAGCCAGCGCTCCGACCAGTCTTCTAGTCCGTTCAAGTTTGCTTGCAGGTGGTCTGCGTCTGCCGCATTGTGAATAACTTTCAACTATTTTATGCCGTCGGTAAACAGGATGGCAGCCCAGTCCAGGACCTTGATGCAGTCATTTATGAAAAAGAGGAATAACGTGGGGCCTAAGACTGAGCCCTGTGGGACGCCACTCACCACGCTTACCTCTGAGGACTGTTGACGCCCTACCTGCACTCTTTGGGACCGTCCAGCCAAAAAGATCTGGATCCATACAAGAAGGGGCCCACGAATTTCAGCGTTGCGCAGTTTGTACAAGAGACGTTGGTGAGGAACGCTGTTGAAGGCCTTTTTGAAGTCGATGTAGATGGCGTGCACCACAGTGCCTTCATCGCGTGCTTTGGTTTTGCGTTCGAGCGTAAAGAGCAGATTAGTGAGGCAGGATCTACCACTTCGAAAGCCGTGTTGGGCATCGGAGAGGAGGTGGTGCTGCTCGAGGAACTGCATCAAGGCCTTCTTAATGATCTTCTCCATGATTTTGCAACAGATGGAGGTAAGAATCACTGACCTGTAGTTATTTGCAGACGCACGACTTCCACTCTCAAAAAGCGGGGTGATGGTAACGGATTTCCACTCAAAGGGCAGACATCCGGCAACAAATGACGCTTGGAAGATCAAGGCTAACGGCTTGGGCATTTCGGAAGCTAGCTCCTTCAGCAGCTTGGCCGGAATTGCATCAGGGCCTGGGGAGGTCGATTCTTTTAGGTTTAGTAACTCATTACGAAAAATTATTTCTGCGAAGAAGACGGCTTCGAGGGTAGGCGTTTCTTTCTCTTCACAAGTGGGCGATAAGAAATCAGTTTCACTTGTCACGACGGACCGGAAGAAATGAGAGAGATGTTCAGCCTTATCCTTGTCATCAGGGATTTCCGTTTCCTCGGACGTTCGCAGCAGTGGGATGGGATCTTTGTTCCTTGGGCTCTGTCTTATGTAGCTACAAAGGATTTTGGGATTAACCATGGCACGGTTCAAAAGATCCTTTTCAAAGGCTTTCCGATCTCTGGCGATGAGAATTTTGACCCGATTTCTCTGTAACTTTTAACTGCTTAGGGATTCAGGCGTCCGGTCAGTCAGGGATATTTTCCATAGCTTCCTCTTCTTGTTAACTTCCTTCTTTAAGGAAGGAGTCAACCAGCGAGGTCTATTTGTTAGTCTTCTGCGCATGATTGGGCAGTGGTTGGAGAAGGGTTGTGGATTAACTCTTTGAACTGACACCAAGTCTCTTTGACATCGCCGGATAGAGTGGATGCCCAGTCGATAGGACTAAGATACTTTTTTTATCTGTTCGAAGTCTCCGCGCCAAATATTGGGTCGGGAATCGAGCGGTTGTGCAGGCAGCGAGAATAAGGTGTATTCCCACATGTGAACTACATGGTCGCACTGACCCATCGGGGGGAGGCAATTCACAACGTCGATGTTGTCAGACGACTTGGTGAACAAAAGAGCGAGGCAGCTCATTTGTTGGCCCTCTCGAACTCTCGTTGGAAACATTACGTGTTGGTTGAGAAGCAGGTTGTCGGAGGTACTCGGTAACCGCTGGTCAAATGCTACTTCAGAGTAGTCGGCTGAGGCCGAGGTCCAGTTTATGTAAGGTGCATTAAAATCTCCAACGATGAGAATACTCGGCCGCGTTGAAAATAATCTGAGCTCCTCCAACAGTTGGGCATCAGCGTCAGGGTCATTACTCGGGGGGCGATATACCAGTGTATACTTATCGGTCGGATTTAACTTTCCAGTCGTACATGCAGCTGACAAGTACCAACCTAACCCCAACCTCTAACCCCTAACCTCAACTCATAACCCTAACCCCTTACAGGTACGGCTACGAAGTAAGATCTTGCCAATATCTTTGTTGTCAGCAGCCGTCATTAATTACCACAGTTTCACCAAGCTTATCGGTCACTTGTGCATCTATTGGCCTTATGTGCTACTGTCGCTAATGACGAGTTGCAGTGCCAATCCAAAATGTCGGGCGAATAAAATTTTTTTTTTCAGCGATCGCGTCTCCTTTTCTCAACCCGCTCACGAAACTTGCATTTTTGCTTGTAGTCCAAGTTGACTTAGGTAGGACTGACTTGTCCGGCCCTCCAAACAGGACATGGGCACAGGTACACCCCGCCCAGGTTATAAAGGTGGGTCTGCGCTTACTTCCGGAAAGGTCAAAATATTTCCGTGTCCTAACTTCAAAAAATAACCCTAATATAAAACTAGACCATTGCCCTAGTCTTTATCCCTAATTCTAGATTAGAGTCTCGGCATTCAGCCACCGGTGATAATTAATTGGGTCCCAGCGACCCTGGCTATCGCGTCGTTAGGGCCGCAAACGAATTTGCGCAGGATTATCGGCAAATCGATCGGTCGAGGCGCTTGCTTTTGCGAGGGCTCTCGAGCACGTCTCTCCAGTGCCCCGCCTTCTTTGTCAGTCGACAGCGACGTCAACCGCGCTAGACTACAGGTCGACCGCGGACGCGAGGCCTGAGCTGGGACGCCCCTTGTTCGACTGCAATGCGTCATCGCTGCACGCACTAACTTCCACCGATTCACACGGGTAGGACCATCTGGCTCGTTATCCGTGTTATCATGCCCCCTTGACTCTCTCCTCCACCCAAAAAAATCAATCCTTTGACCATCACGCGGCTAGAAATGCACTCATGCTGGTGCGGGCATGCACACCTGGGTAAACACCGCACCGCGACTGACGCTCTCCTGAAAGGACGCCTTGCTCTGACAAACAAGCAAATAGCCAAACCACGGCAACCTGCGTCGTGTGCCGAATAAACCTGAGGGGGAATGCTGGGGGACCCGCTGATGATCCGGACCCCTGGTAGCTGTGTCATGCATCGGCATGCGCATTAGAGCATCTGCAAATATGGCATCAGTGGTGTAATGCATAAGGACATCTTAAGGACGTGCCATCTGTGTTTGCCATATCGACCAGCATACAGAATCTACCCCCAAGTTACTTCACGTATGATGGCAGACATTCATACACGAAAATCTCGGTCTTAACCTGTAAATCCTGGTATAAACTGATCTACTCCAAGGTAGCAGTTAATTTCTGTGGAAATTGAAAAAGCGACTATTTCTAAGTTGAAGTATCTACCAGAAAGCAGACGGGGATGCCAGAGGGTCCACTGATGTCCCGGACCCCTCGCAGGTTTCACGCAGCGGCAGAATATAGGCGAAAGAAGCGTGTATGAGCTTTTGGCTAGCACCTGTGCCGTTAGTGTGTTATCCCATTACATTAAACGCATACAGTCCGTCATGAAAGCGTCTTTGCGGTCGCTGCCGCATGAGACTCGGAAGTATCACAAATCAAAAAGCCCGTATTGATTTTCGATAATCGCATAAAAGCAATCGCATGCTCTTTATCGTACGCCGGTGTATGCTTGGACATAAGGTCGTGTATGACAGACGCAGATGGATTATTGCATCTCTGTCGGCCAGTATTGATTTTAGATAACTGCAGAGGCGGTTGTATTTAGCAAAAAAACTGCGTACACACTCATAGTCACTGACGGTCATTGACAGAAAGCCAAGATTTGTGATCATTGGAGACTTCGATGCGCTGCTTGCTGGCTGGATGGATAAATCAATGGACAGTAGCGAGCAGTCTCCCGACATCAAACGGACCTCCTCCTACGCAGAAAACATTGATGATGTTCTTATCACGGACACATGACACTCCGATCGTCGCATCGGACGATGTCCACCGTATTCTCCACATCAGGGTGGGCACAGAGACGGTGACTTGCGCAGGATTATGGTGCAAGTGGACTTGTGCTGCATCTACCACACTCGCACCTCCTTCCCCACCTGGACCCGTTGTCAAGACAGGGTCAAGACGACCAAAGACGGGGAGGGCGCAAGTGGATGGCACGGTCGAGGCCGCACATTGGCGTTCCATTCCACACACCCCCGGTCCACACAACAAATAACCGGGTTTTTAACCAACAACGACAATGAGAATTGAGACTGGCGCCGCCGAAGACGCACCTAGACATGCCGCCCACACGCGGCTAGGATCCCATGTAGTCGGACTGCCATAAAGGTCACGTTAAGAAGGAGACATTGCAACCTGACTCTCAGACTATCAACCGGCTACACCACACCAGCACAGACAACATTAGGCCGACTGGGAGGTCCAAGTTGTCCCGTCAGTTGACAACCTTCCAAGCCACGGATTTTAGCGCACCGTGATAGCTTCGAGCCCGTCAAATTGTTTAGTGAGAAGGAAAATGCGCTGAGCCGTCGACCTCAATCTCATTCCCCATTCCTACGCGGACACATACTCAATCAATAACGACACCCCCCCAGTGGGCAACGGCGATCACTTAGTTTCTAACTTCGCCTCGACTACCCACCTGATCAGATGTCTCCCTGTGTTGGGGTCTGCAAAACTCTACCAGCGACAGCGAGGACAGAATTCGGAAAATTCCCCTCAGGAATCTAAAAATCTTTTCGGACACCTCGTCTAGGATAGGCGGATCGGGAGGACAGTAGTGAAAACTGGCCAACAGCCAGATTCTACCACCATATTGACGATGCGAATGGGTATTTCGCGCGCGGACTGGCCTCGACGGACATCTTCGAGTCCACTAAACCGCCAACGCTACACCCCTCCTCTCCCCTCGCGTCGGAGACAGCCAGTGGCGAGCAAACTCCCCAGACCAACGTTTCGGACTCGATCCCAATCTATCACCACAGCATCCGCCCCACCTTTACACAGTGGCCACGGACATCCAGTTACCACATGAGCCTACTCGGCCATATGAAAATCTGTGGTAAAACACCACAGCCCAGGCCTCATTAGCGAGCATCAACTGACTAGCTCCACATCACCCGTCGGATGCTCAAAACATGCGTTGTTCACGCAAATGGGAAACATTGGAGTGGAACACCAAGGTGCGGGCTCGATCGCGCCATCTACCGGCGTCTCCCCCCGCCTCCGGTCTTCTTGACTCTATCTTGACACCGGGTCCAGATGGGGGAGGAGAGAGTGCGGTAGGAAGTGTGCAAGACCACATTCAGTATAAACTAGATCACGCACAAGTCACCGTCCCTGCTCCAACTTGCTGTGGAGTACATGGTGGACATTGTCGGAAAAAATGTTTCTTACTGTTCCCGCTGCCATGGCGAGAAACGTCTGGAGTCTTTTATCGGATATGGTGCAGTTGCGGACAAGGCAACTAATGTCGGAGAAACCGGAAGACAGCTCAGAACGCGAATGACCGAACACACTGCAGCACTGAGGAGAAAGAACGCCAGCTCTTAAGTTGGGACTCATGCGATGAGATCCGGCCACACATTTAAATTCAACGTGACTGGAATTCTCGTTAGAGGAGACAATCGCGTGAGCCGCAGGATCCATGCTTCACTTGCCCTCAGTACATTGACAAGTGCAAAGACCTTTCCATTCCTTAATCGGTGCAGAGACTTCGCCTAGGCGGAGTAATTAGACACGCGGGGAGCGCACCGGTGAACACTACTCCCAAGGCCGGGATCGATGGACCAGATGTTTAAGAAGTCATCACACTAACATCTGACACACGTGATGAAATTGCAGCGATTAACGGCGCAAATATCGACCATCAAACAGTCATCACATTACGTGAAACGATCCCTGGCGAAATGGAGGGGGGGGGGAGTGCGTGAACATTCATACACCTTTAGATAACACCTTATCGGTAGGCTGCATTCTCGTGGTTACTCCGTTTCTTCTTATTCTACTCGTCTAAATACTTGTGTATTCTTATCGGTCGAATTTCATTTCCTAGCTGTACCTGCAGTTGACAAGCACCGAGGTAAACCTAACCCCTTGCGGGTACGGCTACGAAGTAAGATCTTGCCAATATCTTTGTTGTCAGCAGCCGTCATTAATTACCACATTTTCACCAAGCTTATCGGTCACTTGTGCATCTGTTGGCCTTATGTGCTACTGTCGCTAATGACGAGTTGCA